TACAGAACGATAAGAATGGTTACCACGAGTTGAGATTACAAGTTAATGACATAAGCAAAAATAATAAAAAGAACATCAATAAAATGTCTATAAATAGAATAGCATTGTCCGTACTATACCTCCGTCCAAAGAGAGAAGTTGACCGGGAGGCGACCAAAACTCGTATTTTTCCACGCATTCCCACCACTTTAACAGCCAGATCACCACCGATCGTGCGCCGTCATCGACAAAAAAATTCGTGCGGTGTCTGCGAGTGCGTGATTTACTATACTTGCGTCTATGCCGACTGTCACATAGTAAGGGAAATGGAGCCACAACTGCTGAACGGCCCCGATTAGTCTATATGCGTGAAACGGTCTACTTCTCTCATGGGATTGATTTTTTTTTTTTTTATGAACACCATCTATTTGTAAATAAGTAATAACTAATAACTGTTTCTATTAACTGTACGTAAGACAGTGCGCGCGCGCCGCGCGCCGTGCATGTCTTGAGACCTTAAATTATAATAGGTACAAAGTACAATGATTATCAATCGTGGATTTAACGATATCGAATTTATTACTATTATAGCTACTGGTCTCGACTACTTGTTCCGACGGTGCTGATTGTGTAGTAAAACCCGTTTAAAACCACCCAACTTTAGGCAGCTATAACTCGCCAATGGATTAATGAAAAATGAAAATTTGAACGTGATAATTCATAAAAAAATAGCTTTGTTAGTTTGTAACAATTTTTGTATGGGTTGCTATTTGAACATCAAAACTTGATAGTGGTTTACCTAATAAATATAAGGGTGAAAAAAATGTAAATGTAATACAATTGTAGAAAAGCATGAATCTAAAAATTTGAAAAAAATTAAATACTTTTTGAAATAATGAGTGTTCAACGATAAAAAAATCACCCTGTATACTTATACACTAAAATAATTGTAATTGTAAGGCTTACAGTTAATGTACTGTACATTATGGCTAGATGAAAGTTTACATTAATAATAAAAGAAGGTTCTGGTATAATTTTTTTGTAACTTATCTAATTCTTTCAACTGTTTCGCAAATTCTATCAAGTCTTTGATTAATTGAAATGTTGTAAAGTTTTGTGGCATCACTGAGTTTAACATTTCTATTACAAAAAATTTTACATTTACTTTCGAATTTTCAGGAATGATATCCAAGTTTTATTCTAAATCTGATTTTTCTGATAGTAACAAAATTGAATCATGTGTGTGAAGTTCACACGAAGGTAGGATGGTCAATATACCTACACCAGAGATCTCTAATTCGTAGGTTCTGGAGAGATCATTGCAATTAACTACTAGAGTTTCACCTTGTGTATAAAATAACCACGAGTTTGATGATGTCAAGTGATGCCAAATAGTTATATCTGACATTAAAAATTTAATTTTGCATGATCGAGAGAAGGTCTGTGGTTTTTAAGAATTGCTAATTTACATAAATTTGATTTAGATCTATGGTGTAAGAATTGCCCACCTTTACTTAATGTGTAATGGCTTAGACGCTTAGAGGTTTACATGTTTCCCATTGTTTATTTGTTAACGTTAGGAAACGTTCGCTATTCTTACTGAGAGCGAGATTTTTTTATTTGTGTTTCAATTAAAATCAAACTATTCTCTTCATAAATTATTGGTAACGGAATTGGAAACTGCTAACGCCACTGCTTCTGACAGTGATACGGGAAATCCCAGTCCTGAAAATGCTTACTACCTAGACCCACACACATTACAACAGGCTATACTATGGTATTCAAAAAATGTCATTCATTTRTATCATACGGATTGGCTTGGAAAATGTTGGACTTATCCTCTACGGTAAAAGGATTGCACGTAGTAACAACGTCGTTGAATCACATACCGGTTGAATATACATTTTTATATTTATCGCCCAGCTAATACAAACTAGTAAGTAATACACCGGGTTCGTTTTGTAAACACGTAAAAGTAAATGTCGTAATGCGTAATCCGCGAACGGCCTTCGAGACAAATGCAACAACGTCTTGTTTGGAAACACTGAATCAAAATAAATTTGCCGTTGTCGCGCATAATTTAACTAACATCACTCGTGGTGTGAACTACAAATACGGTTTTGGAACTACAGATGCGATGAATCCGACATCGTGTTCCAATGACAATGCTAAATATCAAGATGAAACTATTGTAACGTCACAGAATTTTGAGACTTTTGTATTAGAATATTACATAATATCATTATTATAATCTTATAATATGTCAACGTCCTTTTATTATATAACTCACAGTATTTCCATAATCTCTATTATTATGCATGCGCTCATTAAATAWWATAATGACAAAAACACTGTTATGTAATACTAGTCCCCTGACCTCCCCCACATGCAGTGTCCATCGCGTCGATGTCGCAGCGGGCGCTTCGCCGTTGGTGTCGGGCGTTGCGGTCGCAGCCGCTGGCGCATACGGACATGGCAACCTGTTTCCCCACTATATATTATACGAAAGTTCCCGACGCGACGACACTGACCACCCCTCTACCCAAGAACATCAAGACGCCGGAACGGCCTACGACCAGCCACCGACGTATACTACCGAGCTGTCTGTTTTTCGCCACTATCGATGACCGATCTCCGGTGTTCGATTTTTGTTTCTGCTCAACGCCATTGRCTCTCGCAACACGTCTCCCGGACTCAAACTTTTTGTTATTTGTTTTCACCRTCGGCGGAATACCACCATGATGGSCTGAAGTGACGTCATAGGCCCGAGGCGGGCGAAGCCATCTCAAACATCATCAACTCAGTACAAGCAGTCGTCGTCAAGTATTATTTTTCCCCCAACATTCCCCTTTTTTCATTTTGATTATGTATCACCCTAGTTTTTTTTATATACTCAGATTTTCTTCAGAGGTGCCCCGGTAACCGTCCTGCGGAGCCGTGGGTCGTTTCCTTTATTACAAATAATATGTTATAGATATGTCATACTGMCGTATTATAAATCTCACATAATATGTGCTCGGTAACCGTTCGTCGGAGCCGTAGCGTTAATATTCATTTTTATTTCCTTCCTTATACACTTGCCATGTGCCGAAATATTATCTATTTTATTTTTATTGTATTTATCTGATTATATTTCTTATGCACTTGCCATGTGCCAAATTTATATTATTAATTTTTTTGTATTATTTGTTATGCAAATTTAGTGCCCCGTGTAAAATAAATCATATAAAATATTTTCTTTAAAATTCTAATTTTGTTATTTAAAATAATAATAAATCTTTGGTTTTCATTAATCACTGTGTGTACAAAAACCTATAAATTCCACTGACCTGGCTCTTGAGCCAACATGCGTTGCGGTTTATAGGTCATGTGGTCAGTGTACCCCTGAGCACATGGGTGGAAAGTAAGTCCCTAAAAAGACCGAAATCTAACAAGCTTCTGGAGATGTGTCTAACACGATCCTTGAAACAAAACAACGGCTGTTTTCACACTCGCTGCCGGACGCCCGACTTCTCTGGTTGGTTTGAGTCATTTCTTTTCGAATTCACGTACCTTAATTTTTGACATACATCTTTCATGTGTCCAGGTTTTCGACAATATTGACATGTAACAGCATATACAGTTTTAGAAGATCCGGATGACATGTTTGTACTTTTTTGATTGTTATGAGAATTAGGTCTCACGGACCTGCAATCGCGAGCCCAGTGTCCGGGTTTATTACATATGTTTCAAGATCCAACTGTTTTTTTCGTTGTCACAGGGTTGGTCTTGTAGAGTTTCTTGGATTCTTCTACCGATGATTTAATTCACTCTTCCTCCCTGGCGGCCTGTATGGCTTTTTCTAAAGTAGGGGGATTCCTAGCTTTGATGAAATCCTTTAAGTTTCCTAGCCCTTCCATGAAAACTTGAATCACCTGCCGTTTGATAGACCTTCCCATAGCCGGGGCACCTTAGTTGCGTCCCGTTAAAAAGGTATACATGAATTGCGTCCCACTATATTGGTTAGGTAGTAGAATTTTTATTCCGTTTTCAGGGGTTCTCCGAGGTATATTTTTAGTAGTTATTTTAATAGTATAATTCAAATCTAAAAGTTTTAAGTGCAATTTTTGGGATTTTTCAACTTTGTTGAATTTATTCATTTATACAACTATTTTAGCTAAAGTCGATACTCGACAGTCGTGTAGATAAGTTATTACTATAATAT